TAGTGTAGTTATATAGTATAGAGTAGTAGTAATATGTAGTAGTATTATAGTATAGTGTAGTTATAGAGTATAGTGTAAATGTATATAATATAGTGTAGTTATATAGTATAAAGTAGTAGTATAGTATGAAATAGTTGGAGTATATATAATATAGTGTTGTTTATAGTATAGAGTAGTTGTAGTATTATTAAATATAAGATATTAGTGGTATAATATAATATAATATAGTCTAGTATAGTACTATAGTAGTTATTTAATAGTAGTAATTATACTTTATAGTATAGTATAGTTATATAGTATAGAGTAATATATAGAGTTTAGTGTAGTTATGTAGTATAGAGTTGTAGTAATAGTAGTATATATAATATAGTATAGAATAGTAGTAATATTATATTGATTAGTAATAGTAGTATTAGGGCTGCAAGCGAACCAAACGTTCGACGAGCTACTCGTTGTTCGGTTCGATTAAAGCTTAGTACATTGTAGTAATAGTAGTAGATATAGTATAGTAAAGTTATATAATTTAGAATAGTAGAATTATAGTGTAGTATATATAGTGTGGTGTATTTATATAATATAAAGTAGTTATACAGTATAGAGTAGTAGTAGTATAGTGTAGTTGTAGTATAATATAGTGTAATGTATTTATATAATATAAAGTAGTTATATAGGAATTTGCATTATAAATGAATTTGCACGCTTAATGTTAGAAGCCACAATAATTATATTTTTATATTGATTTTAAACGACAAAATAAAACACGAAGAGCGGTAAGACAAGATTAGGCTAAATCACATGCATAGGAGTTAAGATTGTAAAATAGCCAATTTAATCTAACATTGCATACATGAATGGTTTTCAACAATAAATCCCAATGCTAACAATAAGATTAGACACTATGCAAGAATCCCTCACTCAACTCTCTAGTTATCTAAGCTTTAGCGGGAAAGAATTAGCATGATCGTTGTGAATCAAAATATAACCACAATTGAGGTATAAACTACGAATATAAGTGAATTGGAGGAAGAGTTTACCCAAAGAAGGGGAGTTACGATGTTCCGGTGTGGTCATATTAAGAGTGGATAGCAACTTCAGGATTGGAAGCCTTCACCATGGCGATCATAGACCTTCTGGATAGCGGGAAAGTCATAGAAGGTCACCAAAATGACCGATCTGCAGCAAGGGACGTCTTAGACAGCAGCAATGAAGGTCGGGACAGCAGTTTGGCACTTGAAATAATTCTGGACAGCAACTTCGCAGACCTGGACAGCAGTTCCAGCACTTGGAAATTCTGGACAGCAAATTGTTTGGCTCAGAAAAGCCTTGGACAGTATGTGACGGATTGCTGGATAGCATGCAAGAGAGGAATTTGTGACAATATTATTGGCCGGAATTTTCTGGACAGCAAATTCCTCTCTTGAAATTCTCGGATAGCCGTGAGAGCAGTTTTAGTTTGAGGACTTCTTCCCAAGGAGCAGGGCAACAGGAATTCCGTCCTCAAGATACTAGGTGACAGGTTTTGGAATAGCAGCCAACATTTGGAGGCCCAAGACAATAGGAACGGATTTTCCTTGGGTAGAATTTTCAGATTTCCCTAATCAATTGGGTAGGGGTAGTTCAAATTTGAATTTTGAATGTAATGGATGGTGGGAGGGAAAGGTGATTAGAGAAATAATTAATTGGATCCAAAATGAATGCCAATTAATGTTGATTGGAGGGGAACAAGGGGCCGGCCATTAAGGGAGCAAATAAGGAGATTGATCTTAATTAAATGTGGGTCCAAGCACTTAATTGATGTAGGAGAATAAATTTGATTTTAAACTCAGATTTATGTAGAGTAGTTGTTTACTTAATTGGGCTGGCGATTTAGGGAAAAATTTGACATCAAATCTAAATTGAATTTGAATTCAAATTCCCACTGATTTTTTATCAACACAAATTAGGAAACTAATTGAATAACAGCAGTATTCGATTTAGGGCTAAATGGGGAAAGAGGGAAAAGGATTTAATTGATTTGGGTGTGGGTCCACCCAATCAATTAGTTATTTAATTAAATATGAAATTTATTTCAGATGTGAAGATTAGGGAAGTTTCCTAATTTAAGATCCATATATTTGGAGAGAATTCAAAATTTAAATTCAAAATTTGAATTGGAAATTTTCCCATAATAAGGAGGCTTAATTAGGTAAGTCTTAATGGCTTACTGAGGGAGGAATCAAGGGAGGAAGGTGGGGAATGGGGGTGGCGGACTGTTGAGGGTGTTTGGGAGTGGTGGTCTGGCGAGTGGGGAAGAAATGGTGGCAGGGGAGCCGCCAGTTTGGTGGAGAAGTTGTGGGGGCCGGCGGTTCTATTGGGAGGAAACCAATGATGGAGTGGGGTGGAGAAGGTGGTTGGGAGGACAGGGAGGAGCCGGCGGGTGGAGTGGGGGAAAATAACAAAGGAAAGGATAAAAAAAAAAGAAAAATAAACCACGAGCAACAGACTCTTCCAATGACTGGTGGGTATTGCGTTGCCCTTCACCAAGGGACTTTCTCCTCTCAAGAACTCACATAGAGATCAAACAAGAAAAGCTGAAAAATTTTCATTCATAATCATCATCTCCCTCAATTGTATATTAGTATAGTATTTATAGAGTTGTAACTTTAACAAATTAATATTTGCAATGTTTTCAGCACGAAATGCTATTGCTATGTTAAAAAATAAATTTTATAATATAAAAACTGAAACTCCCAAAATGTTGTTTTACCGAGCTGTTTCAATATATAGCAAGTATTTACATTTCTAGTGAAAATATTACATTTAAATGAGCTATTGGTAGCTTTAGTTAATAGAAGCTTAATGAATGAAATGGTATTACTAATTTAAGATGATACCATGAAATTTTAAAGGCTTTCTTCTTTGTATATTTCAATAGGTGAAAAAAATAAAAAAATTGTATAACATGAAGAACAAGAAAATTAGCGATTTCTACACTGAGCATAGCTTTCCAAATATCCTCGATTTGAATTTGTTACCTCCATCTCCATTGCATTTGCCTCATAAATTACTACAGTACATTTACGATAGTTTCGTACTTCAACCTCTAAAATGTTGCTTGCTCCTTCCTTGCTGCTACCATTTGCAAGAGTTTCTCCTACGTCATGCTTGCTCACAGTTGTTGATACCATTTGGTTTTTCAGGCTCTTTCTTTCCCTGCTTCTTTATTGTAGCTATAGCCGTAGACCATGAACATTGCCAACTTAAATGTTTCTTGCCCTTCTTTGCCGCTGCCATCTGCAAGATTTTCTCCTCCATTGTGCTCACCCATAATTGTCAAGGGTATGCTGCTTGAACTCATTCTTTTCCTTTTATTTCACATCTAGGCATTCATAATTATTAGGCTATGTGGTCAGACAACAAACCTAAATATATGGGATCAAGTTTGATCTACTCCGATCATATTTAATCCCCTTGCTGAAGTTCTATTATATTTATCAGGGCTGGCTGATCATCTTTCATGATCCTAGGCATTCACTCAAATCTCTCCTATGAACTCTTAAAGGCCTGCTGTGGTTTTGATCAAAATGTTTGCAATGAAATGATAAGGAAGTTCCAATCTGTTTTTAAATTACATTATTATTTTTTTTAATTTTCAATTTAACCTTTTAAATTCTTAGATATGATAATTCATTTACTAAATAGATATAAACTAGTATGATCATCACTCTATTTCTGTGATCTCTCTACCTGCATCATTCTTAACTGTATTATATGCCTTTGAATGCCCATGACACTGTTTTCTATGCTAGTAGACGAAATTTGATCAATATTTCATAATTATTTATGTTGTTGCAGGAAATATAGTTTTTAAACTTTTTCTTTTTCATTATTTAAATACAGCTAAGGTGAACACATCCTGTTAAACAAAAAACTGTTACTTTTTTTTTTCTTGCAAGTTTTAGCAGAATTTATGTCGGAATTTGATCCTTAATGCGAAGAGTAGCAATGTTGTTTATTGTATAGTATTTTCCTTTAATGCATCAGTGTGGAATTGTGTCGAGTTATATATGAATCATGCACCTAATCGTGGATTATTGATCGTGGTCTGCCTTCTCTATGCTATATGTACTGTCCATACACTTCGATTTGAACTTCTGAACCTTTATAATGCCAGAATGCTTTAAACTCTCTAGTTAATATTTGAATCTTTTTATTGACAAGTTTTAATCGCTATATTTACTACAACTAACCAGTTCTAAGAAGCTTATTTTGGCAATTTTCCTTGATTTTGTGCTTTATCTTAACATTTGCAAATGCATGTGCTATTATTAATTAGTGCAATCAATGTTTAGTATCTTTCATCTACTAGACCTCAGTTCTGTAGCTTTTCATAATTCATTTTGAAGCGCCTGCTGTTTTTGCTGATATGCATATACTGCCCGTTGGAGTTTTGGAACTTTTGTGTGTATTGGATGCTTTAAATCTTGGTTGTCATTATTCCAGTGATCTGTTGTATTACAATTTCTTTGGAAGTTCAAACTTTAGTTGTTTACCTATAGATTTTTTTTGCTTCATGCTTCCTTTTGTCAGACTGCTGGAACGAACAAATTTTCAACTGTGATTGAATTTCTCCGGCGTCAGCTTCATAGAGATACTCTGGTAAGGTCGTTCTTTACGAAAATGCTAGCCGTTTTATTGTTGCATTAGCGCTCTTATGATAACTTGTGACTTCTTTTGGCAGTTTGTCTACGTCAACAGTGCCTTTTCTCCAAATCCAGATGAATTGATGATTGATCTGTACAATGTAGGTGGTATATGCGTGACACATGTTAGTTATTTTTAGTTCTATAATAATGGTCTTTGCTGGAGCTCTCTAGGGATTCACAAATTTTAGTTCTAGGATAATTTTAGTTAAAAGCGCATGATGCATGCTTATCATTCCATCTACAACAAAATAATCTGCTATTGAATGAAAAGAACTTCCCATACTTTGTATAACAATAACAACATGCCTTTATCCCACTACATGGGGTCCCATGAATTCTATTTCTCCATTGTGTCCTATTAAGAGTCAAATTCTCATTTAAATCTAATAAACATAATTCATTTCTATTACTTTCTAACTAAGTCTTTGCAGGCCCCTCTACCTTTCTTAATATAGGCCGGATCTAAAACATCTACTCTCCTAACTAGGTCATTGTAAGGCTGAAGCTTTATGTGACTAAACCATCTAGGGCAACGCTCTTTAATCTTATCTGCCATTGGAACTACTCCAACCTTGTCATATATATATTCGTATCGCATTCTGTCTCTAAGTGTAAAGCCACTCATCCACTTGAGCATTCTCATCTCTACAAAACTCAACTTAATTTTATGCTTCTCTTTTATACAAATTCGATGCATTCCTCCACTTCAACCATCCAACTTAAATTTTACTAATAATATCCCCATATAGTTCAATTTCATATAAGAAAGAAAAGCTAAAAATAGAAAAATATTAATTATCCATTTAAATATAAACAATAAAATTGAACTCACATTATATACTTAATAAATTGTAGAGCTATTTAGAAGTCCAAAATAAATTCATATATAGTGGCATTGGGGCTGAGGCTGGTGAATTGAGGGGCTAAATTAGGGTTTTAAAAAGTTTTTGATTAAATTAAATAATTAATATAATTTTGATGTTAATTGACGAGTATAAACTAACACACAATTAAAAAAAAAAAATACAAGTAAATAATAAAGTAACATAAGTGCAAGCAAAAGAAAATAATATGTACAATATTTTTACTTGGTTCGGCCCGAACATCAACCCAACTTACATTCATCGTTAGCCAACTCTTGGGCTAGAAATCCACTAAATCCTAAATTTGCCTTTAAAATCTCACTTCCTTTAGTTAAACTAAAAAATGTCTTACAACCTATATACTCTCATATATAGGTGAATACAATCCAATCTAATTACAATATAAATTTTACTAAATCAAATGATTTAGATTAAAAAATAAAAATACAACTTATTGTAGACAATGCAAGCTTAGATCCTTCAATAAAGTATTTAAGGTGATTTATAAAGTATTGATAATTACATCTCCATTTGTAAATGAGATGTAAATTTTGCTCACTAGAATATATATTTATATCTTGATATATATGAATAATATTTCTCATTAAAAAATTTGGCTTGTAGATTTATATGTTGATTTAAAATAATATTTTTTAAATCAAGTAAAGTAGATATATAAAATTAAAATATGTACTTATAATACTTAAAAAAATGTAATAGATTTTAAAATAAATCTTTGCCAAATATATAAAGATTTGCTTTCTAATTTTATGGATAAAAGAGTTTTAAACACAGAAAACTTAATCTAAGATGCTTAATTAGTATTTCATCAAAAAAAAAAAAATCACAAAAATAAGGTGAAAAATAAAAGTGTAGCAAAGAAAGTTTTAGGAAAAGAAAACGAACTCAAAAAATTCAAGAGACATTGCTCAATTCAGTTCGTTGAAGCTTCCAAATCAAAGATTTGATATTGCAAAGATGCAAAACACTTGGAAGAAAATCTAAATTTATCCTCTCAAAATTTAGCTTGAAAATAATGGAAGAAGGAAGAATGTGTTGGAATTTTTAAGTTAAGATCAACCCTTACAAGAAGAGCATGGGGGGTATTTATACGAAAAATGTAATTTAAGAAATTAAATAATGTAATATTATTTTATCAACTAAGAATATAATATTTTATAAAAAATTAAATTTAGATTAAAAATATTAGATTTAAATGGCTAGTCACATGGGTAAATTAAAAAGTCTCCAATTATCTCCCCAAAAACATATAAAAATGGCCTATTAGCTTGCAATATTAAAATTAGATAATATTTAAAAATCATAATAAATTCAATTTAAATCAAAAGTGGGTCATGATAAGATGTTATGAGTCATAGATGCAAGAATGGGATATCACAGCTCTTGCTCCAAAACTGTTAGATATCAAGATCTTTGTTTGGCTCTCCATGGAAAGAGTTCTCAAGTCCGTTTGCGTCGTTATTTGCATCTATAAAATTGGTGGCAATAGGGTATTCAAAAGTTTGAGTGCTTAAGTATACATTTTGTTTATACTCAGTAAAAAAACAATAAATAGTTTTGATGATGCTTGTTGATCAACTCTTGAAGTCTCTCATGATAAAATTTGGCATAGCAACAAACTTATACCGAGGATCTAATATCTTGGCAAATGATAATAAACTCAATATTTATAAAATTTTGTTTGCATGTTAATGACTAAGTTATTCATGAAATTACAGACCATAGTTCAATTCTAGAAACTTCCTGTGAACCTTTCACACCCCATTGAAATAATTTTTTTTTTTCGGACATTTTATTCCAGAGAACATACATGCTATGACATAAAAAACTATCAAGAACCATTTACAAGCCGTTATATTGGCCAATTCTTCATTTTAAAGCATACAATGATGTACGTCTATCTGTATTGTAAATTTAAGTACATTTCTTTTTAAAATAGAAGCAACCCCACATCAAATAAGTTGAATTACGCCTCACACAAGCATCTTGTTTCCAAATTTTGTTTTTGTAAAGCCCATATTGTTTTTGCTACCACAACATAAACTTGTCTTTTATTCTTGATTTTTTAATATACTCATTTATGCTACAGAGGCATAATTATTTGAGGTAAGAAAAATTTAATCAAGAGCTTCAGTGAAAATTCCTTCACATGATCTACTTTCTTGACACACCTAGCAATAATAACTTGCATTTCCGCAACTTAAATTATTAAACTTAGAAGCATATTGCACTAATAAAATGTCCAAGACTAAGTTGTTCAACACTAGAAAATAGGTAATCTCCGCAAATAATAAAATCAAAATGAGGTTCATCATCATCATACTTATTTTTTCCAGTTGCCCATAGAAGTTTTATGTCACATTTTTTTACCTTTGAGTTGCCTTTTAAATGATATTTAAAATGTCAAGTTTTTTTCTTGGATTAGCCAGAGAGGATATTCTTAAAATGCTCATTTTTTCTCTTCAAACTCTTATTGGTATTCCTATTTATTATTTAACCTAATGAAATCATCCAATCCTTAGAACTAATTTGTCCTCTTTGTGAAGGCTTATTCTCATAGAATTACATGTTTGCCTGCATATTTTGGTCCTATATTAAAAATGTTTATAAATATTAAATGAAATTTCAGTAAAATGGGAATCATAAATTATGCATATTATTAATGTTATAGTGGTAACATTAAGTTATTTATGTATGAATCTTATAATAAAAAGAAAAAGAAAAAAACTCTAGCCTTATACTTATTTATTTAGTTTTTGTGAATGGGGCATTATCAAATCTAAAACTAAGGGTTTCTTGAAATTCATACTTTTTAAAAAAAAAATGTGGCAACTAAATTGCAAGTTTAGAAGATCCCAACTATCAGATAAATTAACTTATTGATTAGAGTTTATAAATGAATGACACGGTAGGCTTAAAAGCTTAAGCGGATAATTGTTTTTATTAATATTTCAGTAATTGAAGAACTGTAACATCAGTAATAATTTTGATCTAAATATTCTAACTTCTAAAATTTAGTAAACATCAATGATAAATCTGAGAAAAGCTTGTTGGTTCTAACTTCTAAAGTTTATCCAGCATAAACATAAGAAAAATTTAATACTTCTAAATTTTAAAATAGATTTGATATGAACAATTATTAAACACCAATGGATATAGTACAACCCAGATTGACTATTTTCTTATTAGAAAATTAAATCATTTAATTCAAATTAAAATTCTGGAGTTAAAAATTACCAACATCTATATAAATGTACTTTATATAAATGCATAAATAAAATAATATATAGTAAAACAATTTTCATATTAAATGTCATTTAAAAATATAACAAATAATATTTGAAAATAAATTTAATCTTAAAATTTTTTTCTTATACTGTTCTGTGCATAGTGATGCTATATTATTGTGAAAAAATAGTTAGAATAAGAATATTCAAAAGATGCTTTTTAGCATAATCAAATGAAAAAGTTTCCTAATAGTAAAAAATAATTGTTAACTCTAATTTTTATTTATGTCAGAAAAATTAAAAAAATAAAACTTTATAAAAATGTTAATTTAAAATCTATAATTGTAAATAATAAAGTTGTTAAGATCCTAAATACAATATACTGATCATATAGTTTATTAGCTTTTAGTTGATTTATTATAATAAGATTAGATACTAAAAGTTGGAATAAAATATATGTATAATATGGTCCAAACAAAAGAAAATAAATTAGTCAAGGAATTTATAAATATGAAATAAAATACTTTTCTAAAATATATCAATCAAATATGATAATATTGCTTATATACTATTAAGAAATTGAAAATAAGATTGAAATGACCCCTTCACCTAAATAAAATAAAATTATTTTATCTGGTCTTGTTATTAAACTGTAATCTTAGAAGTAAAGAAATGAAGGTATTATTTATAATAACTTTATTTTTTGTAGGGTAAAACTGTTGACCTATATTATCCAATAAGTTTGGTAATATGCTTATTAATGAATGTAATTACATTTCTTATAAACTTTTAATATATTTATTAAATCTTATAAAATGCCATTATTGATATAATGGAGGGAATTCATTTTAAGATAAAGGATGCACAAGATGGGGCAATTATAAGTTATTTTATATAATCTTTTCATTACTTAAATACTTTTATTAGCGATTAGGTTATGCATTATGCCTGCTTACATAAATTTCAAATCATTTTATTGATTCTACTTGTCCTTATCGACTATGAAGCCATATCATTATAAATGTTGATGTGTTTGTCTTTTGTTTTTTTAAAAATTTATTGTTTTCCTTTTATTATAATTTGTTGTTTTTCTTTTTTTCTTTCTCTTTTTTTTCTGTATTTTGATTCTTTTGATTTTCTTTTGTTTTTTTTTCTTTTTTTTTTTCTATGTTTTCATTATTGTGTTTTTTGTTATTTAGTGTTATTTTTTTCTTCCATTACTTATAATTCTTTTTTTTATTTTTTTTTTTTCTTTTTATTTTTTTTTTTTTTTTTTTTTAGTTTAATTTTTTTTTGCATATATTTTTTTGTTTTTTCCCTTTTTTGTTTTATTTTTTTTTCTTTTTAAATGTATATAATGATATCAATATATATTATGATCTTAAAAAAGCATATAAAAGTTCCATATCTTAAATTATGGATAGTCTTAAAATGTAAAGATTCATATAATTCTTATATTCAATCATTAAGATTTTTTTTTTAATTTGTTTAATTGCTAGTGTTGTTTGGTAAAATGCTTAATTAATATCTTTTTGTTCCTCCCCTAAAAAACCAACTTTATAGGTGTGTTTAATTTTGGGGGTGAAAACCCATTTTAGATATTTTTTTTTCTCTTTTATTTTTTCTGGTTGTGTACATAAAGATCATCTCTTATATCCCATTACTTTCTATATCATGTATTTCACTAATCTATTTCTAAAGATGATTTTTTTACTTTTTTTCTTTGCTTGAATATTGTTTCATTATAAACTACATTATGTTTATTTACTGTTAAATCGAATCTATGGGACAACCTTATAGTCTATTATTGTTTCTCTTAAGTAGATCTAAACTTATAATAATGAGGTTATTAGTAAATATACCTAGTTAGGATTACTTTGTCTATCAATCATAATAAGATACTACTTTAAATCTATCTTATTGTTCTATAGTGTATGTAAAATTATTATTATATCACATAATTTAATTTTTATTTTGAATGAAATCATTTCGGTCTTTAGTGTATAAAATGACCCCTCAAACTAAGAAAAATTCTTATAAATTGGTATTACCTTGCCAATCTTATGTGCCGAATGTTGCCTTTAAAGAGAAGCTATTAATACTAATTAAGTGTGGCAGAATGAGGAATGCTCAATGGTTTTTATGATGTCTTCTTTACCCTTAGAGATAGAACGAATGAGCATATATCTGTTGATTAAAGGTTGGTAGTAGCCTAGTAGAATATAAGATTATTATAGTAAGTCGCCCTTTATGATGTTTGTCACTATAATTTTAATGGCGTTCCTTGCGTGACTTTCTCGAGTTATGACGATAGATGTATTAATTTGGACTTTTATGTGTAGTATAAGGTAGTGGCTTTAGACCTTAATAAATTCTTGTTCGAAAATATTAGGAATGACCTTTCTTTATTAGATTTAAACGAGAATTTGACTTTTAATAGGACACAATGGAGAAAAAGGATTCATGTAGCCGACCCCACGTAGTGGGATAAAGGCTTGTTGTTGTTGTTGTTGTTGTTGTAATGATAATAAAGCTGGACTATGTTGCAAGATAATAAAACCGGACTAATAACACATCTCAGAGAAGGAATTACGATACTAATTGAATGTCACATTCTAGACTGTTCTAACTGCAAAAAAACTGCAAATCTAAGGGCTGTCACTCAAGATATTTTTGATTTCTTAAATTTATAGAACTCTCTATAGTCCAAGTGAACTGATTCTTTTCATTCTAATTACAGAATTTTGGGTTTGATGGAAAGCTTGTGGTTAATTATGCATGTTCAATGGCTTGGGGCTAAGGGCTACTAGAACGGAGGAGGACATCCAACTACATTCCTTATTTCAGCTAAAAACTGGCAAAATAAGTATTGCAGATTCAAGTTCTTTTATATATATTCTTACTGCTAATTTTTTAGTGTATATTAACTGAACTTTCATTGCTTTTCCTGAGAAGTATGTATTGCCTTGGGAAACTTACATATGTGTAAAAATCAAAGTTTAAAGATAACTTTTTTTCCCTGCTTGTATGTAAGCAACTGCTTTGTCACTCTCCAGTAAAGCTGGTATGAAGAGAATCTATGCACATATTTACCTTTATCCCAGCTTCCAAAATCGCTTTTGTCTCTTTGACTTAGATTTGTTGTCGAGTATTTAATGTATTCGCCTCTTCACTCCCTTTTCTGACTTACTTTAATCCCTCAGTTTGTGTTACAACAGAAATATAGTCACACCAAGTCTATATTACTTCAGTTACTTTAACCCATCTTCTTTGTTACAGCAGAACAAAAGATTGAATAATATGATTTCATTGGAGCTTGCTTATTAATTGACCCTTGGCGCCTAGTTCTTTATTATTTCCGACCTTTTTTGTTCTTTTTAAATGTGCAAGGTGATAAAAGTTAGAAGAAAGTTATGTGTGCTAGAACTACAGGTATGGAGCAATGAAAGAAAATTTTCTTCTTTTTAGCTCAAATTTGATTAGTATTACACCGAGGAAGCTAAATTTTGATTAGTATTTATGTTCTTAATTTGAAATTTATATTATTCACCTTTCCTATGTTGCAATTGATCAAGCTCCTCTGTTCTGTCAATATAACAGCTCTTGTCATCCTTCTAGATTTCTGTAATAAGAAGTGTAAAATCAATATTCTGTGGAGGAATTGATCTATGAAGTTTACTCTTGCATTGTAAAAGAAGTTTTTTTCTGTGATTGGATTTCAATCAATGGCCAATAATTCATGGGATGGATAACTAAGGTGGGACACTTTTGAGCTATGGTAGTCACTTCATTTTTTTTCTTAATGTCACATCGCTTTGTTGTTATTAGGACTATAAAAAATATTTATTTGATTTTATTATTAGCTTAATTTATAAGCTCATTTATTTAATGATTTAAATCATTTGATGGTGGTTTAGTATATTATTAAGATTCTAAGTTTTTATTTGGGACTGCTTTCAAAAGAAACTTTTTTGTACAAACCTTTGTTTCAACAATAAATTTTTGTACTAAAAAGTTGCTTTTGAAATAGTAAACCTAAATTTCCTATATTGATGAAAATGCTATGTGAGAGAACGAGTTGTCATATTTCATATATTCTCTGATTTAGGTAGTATTTTCTATGCTGATAAACTATAGCTTTCTTTTACTAATGAAGTCTGATTATTTGCTTCTTTTTTTCTTGTAAGACCATTTTCAGATGCAGAGGAATACTATCGGTAGGCATAATTAGGAGCCTTGATGCATACATTTATGCATCTATCTATAAAATTTCTTATTTAGCTTGAAGGTAAGAGCAGTTACACAAAAAGGGGTTAAATAGTGTAAATATGATAGAGAGATGCTTTATTCTCATCATCTAATTAAGGGTGCTCTCCTAGGTGTTTTTTGTAAAACACGTAAAGTTTTGATTGGCTGAAAAATTTCTGTTGAATCTCTATCGCTATTCCTCCAGGCTCCAGCTATCATGATGATGAACTTTTATTAGGTCCGGCGTAAGGACGTAGAGGAACGTCCGGTCGGAGGCAAAATCCCACAAACAAACTCGGTATTTGCTCGGTATTGCTAGGTATTATTTGATAATAACGAGGAATACCGCTCTGTGAAGACCAATACCGAGCTATACCGAGCAATACCGAGTTGTACCGAGTTTTTTCTAGAAAAAACTCGGCACAACTTCTGTATAACTCGGTATTGCTCGGTATAACTCGGTATTAGGTCTTCACGTGATGATATTCCTCGTTATTGTTTGGTATTGCTCGGTATTTCTCGTTTTTTGGCGAGATTTGACCTCCGACCGGATGTTCCTCTACGTCCGGTCGGAGGACGTAATAATTGTTCTTAATTCGTGTTGCTCTTGATTAAATTGTTAAAAAATTACACTTTCTTTTTACTTGGGGGCATTGTCTACAATCTCTAGATGGAAATGACATGACAATATTTATGAAAATAAGATTTTAGCATCTTTTTCTCATATCAAATGCTACATTAAGGATTAGTTTGGAATAGTTTTTTACTACTTAAATTAATTTTCTAGCACAAAATTTAAAATTTTTGTACTAAAAAATTGCTTTAAGAAGCATTATGAAAGCCGTCCCAACCGGAGCCTATGCGTAAATTTCAAAACTTGATACTAGGATAAACTGCTCAACCACCCTTAATCAACTTCTTAGTTGACTAGAAGATAATTTTGGATGTTGTATTTTATTTTCTCAGTAGGCTCTCCTTTTCTCCTAATTATTTCATGGAATTCCTCATTGCCATCTTTGCTGGAATTGGGCTTTGCTATGCTAGATGCATCTTCTTTGCCTGTTTTGGCTCATCTAGTTCTCTTGCTCTAGCTTATGGGATCCTCTAGCTCAATGGGTGGTCTGATTACTACCTTCTAATTTTTGTCCTTATTTTCCCCTTATGAATTTCTTTATTCATAAGTTAGGCTGCTCTGGATTGTGTTGCAATAGTTTCTCTCATACATTTTTTTTCATTCTTATATCATCAACAAATCTAAAGTATGTAGTCATACATTAAACTTCATATGTTGCACTCATCCAAGATTAATATTATAATGACCATAAAATAAAAACTACCTAAAATTTAATCACACAAAAGGAATGTAATCACTTACAATCAATTATGTGTATGTGAATTATAAGGAATGTAATCACTTTCATTCAATTATGGTTGGTAATCACTTACAATCAATTTGGGAAGTTCTAGATAGAATAAAAAAGATATCTTGTTGCCTCCATTAGTGAAGCCAAAAGTTGGTTTCCAAGGAAACAAAAAAAGAAGGGATTCAATGGGGAGAATGATGCAATGCAACAAAATGTTGCTTGTAAAGCAAGGTGTCTGCCACCATCTATCTTATTAGTTATTTGTATTTTTGTGAGTAGATGTAATTGATAAAATTATTCACATTTATGTGATTATGTTTTATTGATGTTAAGTGTTTGTAATTGGTATAAGCATTAGTGTGAAATTGTTCTTTGATGCCCCTTTTGTACTTATCCTCGGCTGATCTAGAAGAGTCACCCACCCCATAAATCTCTTGGCCTGTACTTGATTGGGCCACACTTAAGAGGCACTGCTGTTTGAGGGGAATCGAGCACAGTTTGGGGGTTCCCAACCGTACTCGCCCACCAACATCGGCGGATCACCATTGGATTGAGGGAGGCAAATGCCCAACCTAAAAAAAAATAATTTTTTTTTAATAATTTGAGGTATATTTTGAAATATTTTGAGTATTTTGCCCAATCTCAAAAAAATTTTTTTCCCTAATTTTATCAATCATAAGCGTCTTTGCCTATCCCCACAAAAAAAATTTTTTTTTACCCACCCTGAAAAAAGAAGCTGAATCCGCCCCTACCCACCAACCAAGCAAGCATCAGTGGGTCCTGTAATTTTGAAATGCCACTTTTTGTTGCACACTTTTTCATGCCATTAAGTGATGTGATGTACTTATAATAAATAATATAGAAATAATGACCCCAAAAAGTTTTAAATGCCATAAAATACTATAAATTATCACAAAATGCTACAAAATACTATAAACTATTGTATAAGAAAAAAAAATGAAAAATACAATATAAGTAGACTTTACAAGTCGGACTTTCTACCTCAACAAAATAAATATCCATTAATTCATGCTCTACAAGTCAGAATCTACAAGGTTTTGAACTTGCAAAATGTAGTTCAAACTTTTTTTCAGGCTTTTCACGGCTAATGGTTGAACACTAAACTTGGTTCAAGTGAGATTTAAATAAGGCTTGAATGCATTCTAGTCCAATAAATAATATATTAACACTTAACATTTTTTTTTGGGACATTTAGGCTAATTAAGATAAAACTCACATACATCACATACACAAGATTCAAACTTAAGACATCTTAATTGGTAGCCAAACTTACAACTAACGGACCAAGATGAATTGAGTATTAACACTAACCTTGATTTGAAGGTTAGTGAAGGGATAAAAATAAGGATATATTGCAGGGGACCAAAATGAAGAGATTCTTGACTGCTTTGAAGAAACAAAATGTAGATTGATCACTTTGACATCTGCTTGAGATCATCAGAAATAGGATAGGTTCTTAAAAGAGAGAATTTTAAACAATTTTTTATTGAAATAGTTATATGAATGCGAAGAGGTAGGGGTGTAAATCAGTCGAGTTGAGTTTGACTTTATTGAGCTCGGCTTGTCAACTAGAAGGTGGGCTCGAGCTTGAGCTCAAACTCGGCTCGTTCCACTAGAAACGAGCTTGAGTCGGCTTGTGAGCTTCCGGCTTCTCGTCCTAGCTACTCTATGCCGTTCTCACTCGTCCCACGTGTAGAAGCACGATCTATGCTCATCCTACGCGGCACGCCTCATGTGAGTCGTCAGCTTGTGCAGGCGGCGAACTCCCTCGAGCCTAGCACATTCGGTTGACGAAGCTCCTCGGTTCGTGAACATCCAACAAGAACAAATGGGATTTTAAGCGGGATTTTAAAAATAGGCGGGATTTTAAGCGGGAGGTGGGAGACCGGTTCGCAAAATTAAGTGGGATTTTAAAATTAGGCGGGATTTTGAGAAATTAAGTGGGATTTTCAAAAATATTACATTTTTTTTGAAACTATAGGTGGGATCCAAGCTGGCTCGCGAGCCGAACCTTGTCAAGCTCAAACACGAGCTTGTTTAATAAACGAGTTTGAGTTTGAGCTCGAGCTTGTTTAATAAACGAGCTCGAGCTAGTTTAAAGTTTCTCTTTAAAAATATTAACAAATGAAAATATTCAATGTCGTCACATAAAACCATTACATTTTCTCAAGATTTGCCTCTTTTCTCTTTGTTTTAATTATCAATATATTAAAAAAGATTATAATAAAAAAAATAAAATTTATGAGATTGTCTAGCAAGATCTTATAGGAGAATTGATTAGAAGGAATGTTTATGAGGGACAAACTTGATTTAGGGATTTGATATGTTAGAGCTGGATAGTTTAGTTTATACAATTGCTAAAAAAAGCTCCAACTTCTCTTAACATTACAAGTCATATTTAATACATTAAAAGATGGCATCAAATGTTCACCTTTAACTTTAGATTTTCATGTTTTTATCAAGAGGTTTGATGTAAGATC